AATCAAAGGAAAAAGAATCATAAAAATATGACAGGCAGAATATATCTCCTTTTTTTATACCAAATTAATGATGACTGTATTTTCTACTTCTTTTATCTTTCCCCCCAAAATAAGGCCAAAAATTGTTTGTCTTCTGTGTGTAAAACAACAGGAAGAAATAGCTTGTTATTTTTCAATCAAAACATTATAAAGGATACTGCTTTAAAATCCTACCAAAGTCAGCATATGAGCAACTTTTAAATATTATAGAATCATAGAATCACAGGATGGTTTGGGTTGGAAGGTACCTTAAAAATCATCCAGTTCCAACCCCCCTGCCATGGGCAGGGACACCTTGCACTAGACCAGGTTGCTCAAAGCCTCGTCCAGCCTGGCCTTGAACACTTCCAGGGATGGGGCATCCACAGCTTCTCTGGGCAACCTGTGCCAGTGCTTCACCACCCTCTCCGTGAAGAACTTCTTCCTGATATCTAATCTAAACCTCCCCGCTTTCAATTTAACCCTGTTCCCCCTTGTCCTGTCACTACAGGCCCTTGTAACAAGTCCCCCCCACCAGGTTTCTTCTTGGCCCCTTCAGGTACTGGAAGGTGTTGCAAGGTCTGCCTGGAGACTTCTCTTCTCCAGGGTGAACAAGCCCAATTCTCTCAGCCTTTCTTCAACATTATAGTAAGGTTACAGATATGTGATTCCAAACTTGCTGATATTCTCGACAAGAAACACACAGGCATTGCAAGCTGGGCATCCAACAGCTGCAATATTTCAGATTAAATCATAGTGGAAAAATATAATACACACAGATACCAGATATACTTTGAAATTCACATTCTATTTCAATTTAGATCTTTTCATTATAATTTGTTAGGGGTTTAGCTTCCTGGACATGCAGTGTGCAGTGAAGCTTGTGGTTAACTGATTTCTGAGAGAGCCTGTGTTTCAGTTCAAAAACCAGCATCACACGTGGTGCTCACCACCACCATCATGAGCAAACTTTATATCCCTATTAGACATTCTGACATTACACTATGGGCTTGAGTCAGCTACCCACACACAATGTCCTGCTGCCCTTTGGGAGTTCTGCGGTATCATACTGGCTCGCATCCAGACTTTGAAAAGACACACATGCACCTGCTGTAAACCTCTGTGTCTGTGCTGTAAACTGTTGAATCCTCTCATAGTCAGCCCTGTGTAGGTGCCTTGGATACCTTACAGCTGTTTCTATATGGGCAGTTAGTTTGGAGCAGCACAACACTGACACTGCCCACACTGCCTAGCTCTGAGTTTCTCTTCTGAATACTAGTCCTATTCCACAGCCTGGATGCATATTTGTAGCTGAAAAGCAATGCACTCCTCAGACATCCCTCCCAGTGTAGTATCAGCTGCAGTTCATGCACTCAGGCTGCTTCATTTTACAAACCTAAGCCACAGCAACTGGGGACAATGGGGAAATTAATTTCCAAGTCATGCTGTTGATGTGAACAGCATCTTGGATTTTGCCCTTCAAAAGATGTGAGGTCATAATGGGCACTTACATCTGAGGAACTAAGTCAAGATTTGAGGATGAGAGTCAGTTCCAGGTTCAGATATCTGAGTGTAGATATCTACAACATGAATTAGACATCTAAACATTTTTACTGTTAATAGAGGTTCCGCTGACTACTGACAAGATTTATGAACTAACATGTAAAATAGGAACTCACTTGCAGGCACCTTAGCTTTCATTTTACAAACAACGTCTAGGACAAAAGTTTTTCTGTCATCCTGATTATCCTCCTCAGTCATACGAATTTCAGCATGAAACTCATGCTTGAAACCCATGGAAATAAAATCAGCATTTATATTTTCTAGAAAATATTTCTTATTAAATATTATAAAAACTTCATTTCATTCTGTGACTCAGATTCAAATTCAGTTAAATCATGTTGAATTTTATTTCATATTCATTTTCTGTCATATCTTGATTATTCTTTCCTAATAATTCCTGCTAAAATCTTTGTTGTTATTGATCTTAAGCCAACATGCTTATTAACTCCAAGGCATTAACACTCATCTCTTTTTCTCCATGTTATTAGACAAATGAAAACTCTTTTCTACAGCAACACAAAGGTCATGTACTAATTTTTTCAGAGTCCTAAGATGGACAAAAGCTCTATCTTTATGTGATTACAATTAGATTTTCTTACACTTAAATCAATAATCTCCAAATTATCACCTTGATCTCTCCTCCATTGTTTCTCTATCTATTCATCTGTCGTGATCTTTACCTCAGTTTCTATTAAATTAATAATCTAGGGTTTTTTCGTAAATTATCCTTAACTTGACCCCAACCCCATTTCTTCCCACTTTGCTTCTCTTTTATTTATGAAGCTAAACCCCCTTTTGCTATGGTATTTTCTTATTAAAATATGTAGTCATACTACACAGGTGGTCTCTCCATGACTGAGAGAGATTGGCAGGGAAGGAGGAGAAGTCTATGTTCCTGCTGTGTGCAGCAAGTGTTATATGAGTAAAACACATTTCAGTTTCCACCATAACCAGCCTCTGGCTTTTTTCCGAAACACAAAAAAAGGAAGAACAGATGAATGGTATGCATTTTAAGGAAAGTATTAATTCCTGAGCCAAATAATTCACCAGTTAATGTGTTTGAAATTTCTTTGATTGAGCAATTACTCTTTTCCTCATGGATACCAAGAGCTTTTAGCTAAACAGAAATGTAGCTGATAATATGTATAACATTCATTAGATAATCTTCCATATGCATCTAACTTTCTTTTCCTCCGAGCTCAGAATGAAAAACAGTTTTGTATCAGGACTTATGTTGTGTATAAGGTTTTATAATTTGTAAACCCTGTAGAAGTGTCCTTTCATTTGTCTGATGCTGACAGTATATTGATGAAAACTATTACTGTTCTGCAAATGCTATTGTCATACTAATGATACGATGTCCCCAGAGCATTGATCACAGAACTTGATAGGAAAACAAAACTTAGACCAAGATGAAAGGAAGGAAGCTTACATCCCTATGAGTTCTTAAAGCAGATTGTTCTTCAAAGGTGTGACATATCATACTTCAAAGGTGTGACATATTATAGCAGAATTTCAGGCCTTCTTATTTGTTGGGAAAAAACACCCAAACCACTATACTCTGGTCAGAGGCATTTGCTTGCTTAATATAATTATGTTTTCTATAAAATTAGCTTTAGACAAAAATGTGACTCAAATACAGATACATATATGTTTAGAGCAAGATGGGAGATACATCATCAGATTGCACTAGAGAATCAAAGAGTTCACATGTCCTTCCACTGCCCCATTCACTTTTGAAGCTATCATTTTCTTCTGTCTCTCTGCTGAGAGCAGTGAGTGGTTTCACAGTTTAAGTGAATAGAGGTACATTTTTCACTGGAATGAAATTCTGTTTTCTCCACCACAATGTTTATAAACCTCAGATAATAAAACACCATTTTTCACAAGCAGAGTCAGAGAATAGGGGGTATTACTCTTTTTCCAGAAAAAATAAAAAAAGTATGCAGTCTGATATTACCGATTTAGTTTGAGCATATTATTGAGTCTTAGGCCTTTGGTAAATCACTCCTAGTTTAAATCAAACGTAATTCAGCTTTGCATTTTAATACATCGATCCTGGAAAGGGAATTCCTTCCCTTTCTTTGGCTGCTGAAGGCCCCAGTGCAGACCTGTTAATCAAGATGATCAAAGCAACTTCCTCCTGGTTAAATATTTCTCAAGAGTAATCCACAACATAGTACCCTTCATGATTTCTGATCATACCTCAGTAGGGGACTGATAGAGAAGTGCTAGTCACTACATTAGCAGATAGAAAGCCCTCTCTGGAGAGGTGCACCTAAAAATCTAACGGTCACTAGGGAAGAGCCACCCACCTACTTAGGCTTTTTATCATAGAGGTGTCTTACCTTACTTTAAAAACACAGGAGAATCAAGCATTCCATCATCTGCTCCTCCACTTCTGGATGATACTTGAAAGCACTTGCTGATCAGAGGGCTTGCCTTCCAGAGGGCTTCCAGAGGGCTTCCAGCCTATATCTCCCATGTCCTTTGAGAGAGCCATAACTACTACCCAGCATGGGAAAAGATATACAGTATCTGCAAGCAGGGCTTGGCTTAAATGCCATCCATTTAGGCTTGTAGTTCTTCTCTGTCAGAAAGGAGCAATGATTATTTACCTCTGCTCCAGGGCTGCAGCTTTAACATATAATATATTCAGGGGCTTTGTCATTTTAGAACAGCAAAAATGTTTTAATTTTCACCTCTATGTAACTTCATGGACTTTATGATTAATATTGTGTACGCAAAGCTGAAGCTTGAAACTCTTAAATGTAAATGTTTGAGCAACATTTCTCGCAAGCATACTTCCATGGGGTTACTTACCTAGAGATGTAGTGGAGCTGCAGTCATACAAGTCTCCAGGAAAAAAAAAAAAAGCTGAGCTACAAACAAGCAGAGATTATTTAAATCCCTATGCTACACTGTGTAGTGATGCCATAAATCATATTTTGACCAGACACAATTAATTTATTTTTTTTTCTAGCCCTCTTTTACATTTTACTTCCCATTCTTTTCAGATTTGATTTTTAAGGTCATTTTTTTCTAAATGGAATAGCCTGTGCTTGATATTGAAAAGTGATCTGACAATAATATTGCAGTGAAACTTTGAAGACAAATTATGAAGAATCACCTTTTTTACTTTTTTACAGAAGGTTCATTAAATTTCACTACTGATAAGAGTCAAAGGATACTAATCCACTGATGCCTCCCTGAAACTATTTGAATTAAGCAAGGAGAAGTAAAATGGGTCTATTACAACCTCTTTTAAACAGAAGAGAATTCAATTATCATCTTCATCATCCCTTGCTACAGAGGCAGCAGTCCTTAATCCTATTTATTAGGTCTAAAAGTTGTTATTACAGAATTTGACTTCTAAGACAGAAGATGTATCTATATATTTATATATTTATCCTTTTCAGAATAACTATTCTTCCACATGGGAGCCTGCGAATCCTGAATGCTTCCAAGTCTGATGAAGGACGGTACTTATGCCAAGGTGTAAATGTATTTGGATCTGCAGAAATCATTGCAACCGTATCTGTTAAAGGTATGAAAAAATATTTTGGTGATAATTGTGGGGTTTTTTTACTATTATTACATTATTGCTTAGAAACCCCAGGCAACCATACAACAGCATTTTACAGGCAGAATAAAAAAGCATTTCCAACAAGATAGGAGGGCTAACCTCCTATCAAACAATGGACTCTTGTGTCATATTGCATACTCCAGCTGTTATATCATAGATGTATGTCAGAAGAATTAATATAGACTAATCAGAACTCAATCATATTATTTTCGCCATACACTATAATTGGACTTCCATTTAAATGTTCCTAATGCTTCTATGTTTCAAGAACCTACAAGAATAGAACTGACTCCCAAGAAGATAGAGTTAACGGTTGGAGAAAGCATTGTCCTCAGTTGCAAAGCCCTTCATGACAGCACACTAGATGTCACTTTCTATTGGACACTCAACGGGCAGCCAATTGACTTTGAAAAAGAAGGTGGACACTTTGAGAGCATCAAGGCAGTAAGTGACCATGTGTTTGTCATCTGTGTGCTGTGAATTGATAAAAATATGTATGAGTTTACATGTTTTCCATTTACCAAATTCTGACCAAATTGGAAGTTACCTAGTTTCAATAATGTTGGAAGGAAATGCTAGCTAGAGAAGGTGCAAAATACAGGTCACTAGAATTACTTCAAGTAACTTTAATTAAGAAGGTATTAAATGTAAACTTATACATACTATTATTAGTGAGGCATCTGATTGTCTTTGTAAGGGAACAGAAAGTAGTTTGAATCAAATCCTTCTTGCATTTTAATATAGAAAGGATGCTGCTATAGACATTTATGTCCTTCTCACAGCTAGCATGGCTCTTGGAATGCCCTCATCTCCCAGTATTTCTACTTGCCTAGCATATCCTTTAATATCTGAACAGCAAGAAGTATACTTTATTTCTCAGCTCCCCTGCGTGAGGTAGCTTCTAACTGTGCAACTATTAGGTCAATAAGAATCATATGGACAAATATGCATACCAATTTCAAATATTATCCATTGATTAAAAGCAATTTAATATGAACAAACAGTATAACAAAGTAATTCAAGCCTGTCCCATGTAATATAGTTAGAACTTTTCTTAGTAAAAAGTAATCTCTTAATGTGAACAAGTTTGGAAATAGAATCTACAGTCATTTGACCCAATCTTCCCACTAATAAAATGTAAATCAAATGTCCATGCTATGTTAACAGAGAAAAATGAAGCTCACAAAGGTCATGAAATTTTAAAATATAATGTATCTAATTTGAGTACAATGTAGCAAAGTTAACTTTGCATTAAAAATCTTGTCAGCTGCAATCAATTTATTCTTCTGCTTGCCTTTATGGAAGTCAGACTATATACACTTTATGCTGTGGGGTTTGTCGTTTTTTTGTTTGTTTCTTTGTTTAATTTGGTTATATTTCCATAATAATTTCAAGTTTAAAACAGTATTTGATTCAAGAAAACATAGAAAACATACTATAATTACAATTATAAATTACATCATTCTCAAAAATTTGAAGTCTAAAATGTGGTACACGGTTCTTTCAGTGCATTTCAGCATCTTCTGTGCTGAAGGGAATGTTTTATCACTGGGAAAAGTCCTCAGACTAGGAAATTTCCAAAGTAAAGATAATTTTACATAATTTCATTATTTTTTATGAAAACAGGATTTTGTAGATTTTTCGTGAAGAATTCATTCATTTACTTTCTACCAGAGAAAGCCCTGAAACTGATAGAAGTAGGGCTTATTCAAAGTGAGAAGCTGGGAGATGACACACTGGAACTCTTTTCAGACAAAGATTCATGCAAAACTCCCTGAAGTTTCTGATTCCTTTTCTTTGCTTGACATGACTAGAACTACCAAAACTTAGTAGATTTAACCAGCTATTTTAGTATGAGTTTATGACTTTCTTCTCACTGTGTTGCTAAAGAGTCACTGCTACTTTGCTGAGTGAAAATAGCATTAATCACTCGTAATGGAGTCAATGTTCAGTGTCTAAATTACTAAATGTATTACAGAAAAATAAATTGTTTGCTAAGTAAAAATCTGACATCTTTCTTTCCAGAGGCACACATGTATTTTTTTTTTATTAAACATATTTTTTTACAAACAGCAAACTTCAACTGATCAGAAAATAAATTCAGGCTGAACAGAAGGTATTACATATTTTGCAAAATATTACAAAATTAGATGCTACCTTTTCACTATTAAAGCAGTGTCAAAATACTGAAATACTATGCAACTCTAAAGAAGTGCTAAAATGAAACATCAGACATGGATATTTTTAGACTTGACTAACCTCTTTTGTCTTTACAAGACAGCTCACACAAGAGACGGTCAGGCCATGCTTCATTTACTTGCATTCCTAATTTAAATGTCAAGATGTTTGATTTCTGGTTTTCACTCTAAAGAGAGAATGGAAGGCTAGGCTTGGATGAACTGGAAGAAGGCTGAAAATACCTATTATCATGTTCCAGGCTGGACAGGACAGGGGAACGTTCTTTTTCAGAATAGAGTCACCAATATATGACCCTGTTAGGACAATCTTCACTGAAATTTTCTGAATGCTGTTGGAAGCATTATATGACACATCTTTCTCCCTCTTTGAAAGTAGTAATTAAAATATCTTTAGATCTCCCCTCTCTAAAAGGCATATCTTGATTTTTGCATTGCCCCAAAATGAAGATGAACTATTTGAGAGATGTAAAACTCAAAAGTGGCAGTTGTGGTAATGCAGAAATCTACAATTCCCATATGTTGTCAATTCTATCTCATTACCATTTTGGTTAAACACATAAGCATGTAGCAGTAATCACAAGGATGAAAATGTATTTCTTTACCTTGTTAAAACCAAAAGCATGATCAGGTGCCAGGGGAAAGCAAATAAAATAACACTCTTCTGATTTTCTTATCATGTAATTTCCTTTATTCTATCCAGTTTCAAAGGAGTGATACACAATGTGATAAAGACACGGGTTAAAGAATACAGAAAAAGGAACTTGAAGAAAACTGGAAATTGGATAGAATTCCAACATTATCTCTTATTTTGCATTTCTGAATGAAGTATTTTTTTTAATTGCCAGAGTTGATCCTGAACAAAATGCTTTCCAGTGCAGTGCATTTAACAAAAGTAATATCCATCCATAATATCCATACAACCATTTGTTCTGCACACACTGATACTTCATCAGATAAAAAAATGTCCAGGTTTGTTTGGGTTTTGTTTATTTGTTTGAAAGCCTGACAAATTGAACATTATTTGAATACGCTTTGTTTATAACAAAACCATTGTCAACCTCTCAGCGCTGGTTGCATAACTCATACTTTCACTGGAGCAGAACCTAGTGTTAAGTATGATGAACTTTCTGATGCTTAATGCAGTGTTATAAAAGCTGTCACAAAAGTAACATTTATTTGGGCTGTAGATATATTTCCATTTGCTAAAATTTCATGGTCCCCAGCAATTACAGTTAAAAGGAAAAGCTTCTCTGAATAATACATATTGTTTTGCTCGGTTTTAAATTATATCTGTAGTTTTTGTACAAAAAAAAAAAAAAAGTCTAAGTGTTACCATTTTTCATACTGAGAACTAATTTTTATACAAATTGAAGGTGTTTTTGTTGTTGTTTACTGAGCTATCAAAGATTTAGTACCTGTAGCAATTTAGGTACTTCGGGGACTTACCTGGCAAGAGGATAAGTGTGGTAAGGATGTCATATTGAACAGAGCTGTGCATGAAGGGAATATTAAGGAAAAGAGACCAAACTCCACTGGAGTGACAGCTGCAGACTGCGCTCTAGGAAAGAAAAACATCCCAAATGGTGTGTATGCATAGCTCCACAGTACACTTGGTAGCAGAAAAATGCAAAGGATTGCGTACACCCAGAAACTTTGGCATTAGGAAAGTCTTACTTTGTCTACCAAAAGAATCAGTAACATTGTTTTAGGGTCTGTGAGGGGTAATCTGTGTAATTTGCTAACAATCTTCCATAGAAGTCTGAATTATCAAGATTTCCTTCTAGCAACACAAGTGAGCACTTGAGAACAGAAAATATAAACCTGCTTGCTTTTATTAGGGTATTTGATTTTCTGTTCTTTGTGCCAAATCCAGAAGTCCTGTTCCAAATTCTATTCAGAATTTTCTTTTCTAAAATCTCTACTGACTTAAATTTTGTCCTGGAGGTATCCCTTTTCTAACTAAAAGCATCTGATATTTTGAGTAGATTTTCCTCCAGCTATTGTCATTCCAAATATTTGTTTGAAAGCGGGTGCTGTTTTTATGGTAGCCAAGCAAAATGATTTACTGCAATAATCCACAGACTGGTAAGCAGTAGCACTGCTCTTAGTATCCCTCACCTTGACCTGCATCAGTACATTTCAGACTCAGGAAAGTGATTTAGTTTCAATATATTCTTGGTCTTTGATCTTAACTGAAACTGCCACCATGGGAAGCAATAAGCACAACTTGTCATGTTATATTTTACAGTGGTCATTTTTTTCATATGGAAGTGAATTAAAATCCACTGTTTCACTTAGAAAAGGACAGTAGATACAGACTGGACAATACATTAACTACTGTCTATCACTGGAGACTTCAATCTGATAACCTAGAACCTGTGGGAGAGCATAACTCTGCAGCTTTCCTTACATTTTCAAGTCTTTTCTTAGTTCATTGTGGTACTCTAATCATATTTTAGAAGATTAAAATTTCCTAAGTATTTTCTAAATAGGCACCACTAAGTTCTACACTACATGGAATCAATTAAAACAGTGGGCTGTTAATACTGATGTCTTTCCTTTTTATTGGACATAAAACCAAACAAGGCTAATTAAATAGGGATTTTTTTTTTTTTTAATTTAACACTCTCGCCCCTCCCCACACTAAGGAAAAGAGTAATAGTTTTAAAAAATCCTGTAGAAGATAGGTGCTCTATGCACAGAGAATTTCTGTTCAGGGTAATGCTGCTATATCAACCTCATTGCTATAATTTGTTTCACTGTTTGTCACACTATTTTCCGGCTGACAGAAGAGGTTGAACACAGCCATTACTGTCAATGCAAATCTACAGATATTTCAGCCCTATGCTCATTATCAGGTTTTGCCTATTTGTCATGCTACAGCAGTTTAAATCTTGAGTGATCAGAAGCAGTTTCAAAATAAAAATAATCTTATCTTTTGCTAACACAAATTTCTTGTAAACTAGGGATGGTGCAAAATGGAATAAGGATTTGTGGTCAACAAACTTTGAAATGTGTGGTGTTTCATGGCTGGTAACTACAACCCAAACACAATGGAGACTAATGTATAATAATGCATTTTGCCATGTGTTGCTTCCAGGATATAAACAGTCCCAGTGATTGGATTGAATTTATAGACACACCTGCATGCTGTATTAGAACAGGACACTCCAAACATTTCCTGGAATTAGACAAGTATGTAAACTGGTGTGCCCAGGTGCTTGTGGCTTTAGCTATGAATAAAGA